TATTGTCTAATGCATATTTTTTTCTCAATATAATTTCTTCATTAAATTTATAAAGCCTTCTTCCTCTTTATTTTTAATTTAAAAATAAGAATTAAATTATATTTTTTCTTTGAACAATTTTTTTCAATTTAGGAAAAAAATTATTTTCGATTAAACAATTAAATATTTAGTTTTTAGAAAAATACTAAATACAATTGTTTTTGTTAGAAAATAATTAATTATTATTTTTTGTTTTTCCTTTCAATAGCTTTATTTACAAAGTTTTTTTTTATTTCCGTTTTTTTCTCCTCTTTTAATTAATTGCTCTTGAATGCAAAAATCTTTTGGGTTTTGCAAAAAAATAATATAAATATATATACTTGAATATTTACTATTAACTTGATGTGTATTTCTGGGATATCTAAAAAATCTTTAAAATATCCATTTGTATTTACAATTATGATTATTTGAATTAAAAAAAATTAATTAAAATTATCAAATATTTTCATTATTTTATAACTCCCCACGTATTCAAAACAAACAAAATAGTAAAGAGAAAAAAATAATTGAAAAAATCGGCGCAGTAACCAAATTTTAATTTGCTTTAATCAAAAAAACATACTTGAATATTTATTTTTTGTTGGGTTGGACCTTGATATTTATTAGAAAAGAAAAGAAAACCTGTTTTTTTAGTTTTATTATTTTCCTTCCACTTATCTCTCAAAAAGTTTTTTATTTGATAATTATGTGAAAAGTATTTTTATTTAAATTTAGGTTTTTCTGAAATTAATTTAAATTTAACTTTTATTTATTAAACTTTATTTTAAAAGTTTAATAAATTATTTTTAATATTATTTTAATATTATTTCTTAAACTTTATTCAAAGGAATCTGACAAAGACTGACCATACATTTTAGTTTTCCAACTAAAAGACGTTTCTTGAATTTTTAATTTTTTCTCAAATATTTTTTTAAATTCTAATAATAATTTTTCTTTTTAAATTCTTATTTATTTTCTTTAAAATACCCTAAAATCCACTTTAGCTCATTTAATCGCGCAATTAGTTTACGGACAATTGCTTTTAATATTAGAATGAGAGAAACAAAACAATTTAGAAATTAAATGGGTAAAAAAATAAAAAGAAACATTAACCCCTCAGCATTTTAATTAAAAATTTGTCAGCAGCTTTTTTATTTTTTTTAAATAAATTACCTCTTATATCTTAACTTGCTTGAATATTTATTTATTTATTTTGATTAAAAAATTTAATTTTAAAACATTTTTTAACTAGACATCACTATAGAAATAAAATTATTTTCCTTTAAATTAAGAAAAAAGATTTGTATAACAGTTTTAATTAATTAATTTTAAGATTTTTTTTTCAATTTTTCGATCAAAATTGAGAATAAATAACTGCATATTTCGTTCATCTTCTTCCAATTTATTTTTTCTTGTCATTTCACTAAAAATTTAATTTGGCCAAAATTCCATTTCTTTACCTCTTTAAAGTCCTCTAACATTTTTTCTTTCAAAAATCCCTTCTTAGCCCATTTTTATTTTATAAAAATAACTACTTAAATATATAATGTCCAACCAACCATCTCTTTGAATTTTTTTTATCTATTTTTCCTTCATTTGTTTTTGCTTTTTTAAACAAGTATTGGCATTTGTTTATTTTTTTAATTTAAAATTAATTTAGCTTTTGTTTAACATTATTATTTTATAATACATAATGTAATAACTAAAGATTTTATTAAAATTATTAACTAAACTGCCTATATTTTTTTAGATTTTGTTTGAAATCGTTGAAAAATAACGTTTTTTTAATTTCTATATGTAATATTTCCTCTCTCTCATTAAAATGTCATGTCCATAGCAAAATTTATTACTAACATTTTTTTCTTAAAAACATTTGGTCAATACTTTTATATTCCCCCATCCTTAGCGGCTTTCTCCTCCAGACGATTACTCTACGAATTAAATAAAATATTTAGCTTATAAAATGCTTTTCAACCAGATTATAAAGAGTAAATTTAAAACAAACATTTTAAGTAAAAATTATTTGTTTGACTTTGTTAGTCGGTTTTTAAAGTACTTTTTTAAATATTAATTTGTTATTTTTCCCATTCCCTAATTAATTATTGTAAGACTAGAAAGTAATAAATATTGCAAAACGGTCCTTTACGTCTACTTGCTATATCTTTTATCATTAAAATGTTTAGTGTTGTTATTTTTTAGAAGATTTATTGTAAGTTAACCGCTAGGAGGAACCGTAAAAGCAGTAACATATTTATGGTTTTATGAAGGACGTAGACATAATAATTTTTATGTGGGAAAATGACAAGATTTGAGGAAAAAGTAAAAAAGAAAATTATTAATAAATAATTGCGATAGCTCCGGGTTCAGAAGCTTTCGAGGATTTATTTATACATAATAATAGTTAGGAATTTAAATTTATAATTTACTCTATTGTTTATTTACAAATATACAATAAAATTACAATTTACAATACAAGAGTTACACGTAAATGTACGTAAAATGTACACTACAATTTTTCTAGAATTTATTTTTCTTCCTATTTTTACCTTTAGTGATTATCCAGGAGAATAATAATTTTTTGTAATTATTTAGAGAAATGTTTTTTTCTTTATTTTCCATTATTGACTATAATCTACTAAGATATAATTACACACACACTCATCATCTTCTTTAAAAATAAATTGGTATTCTTTATGTAGCTTAAAACACAATTTTACTAAATTGCCTTTAGTTAAGCAAAAAAAGATGCTAAAAGCTAACCAACCATTTCCTATAACAAAATAAACATAAATTTTGCAGCAACATTTTTAGTTTTTGGCCAAAAGCCTTCTATGTAATGGAAATTCAAAAATATACATTAAATTAAATTTATTTAAAAAAATTTTTTTGTTAAATAACCAAAAATTCTTGTCAATAATTTCTTGTTAATATCAATTTTTTGCTAAAAAAGTTTTTTTTATTTCTAATAAATAAATATATTTTTGCAAATGATTCATAAAAATTTCCACCAAACATTATTTTTTCACTGAATATTTTTGCTTATTTTTATGACTGCACCGTTTCACTCTTTTTCCCCATTTTTGTTTATTAAACAAAAATAAACATACATAAAAATTTTTAAAAAAATATATACTTTTAAGGAAATATAAAAAATATATATTTTAATTTAAAAAATAAAATTTTGAAAGAAGATTATTTACTTTAATTTAATTATCTAAATTTATAAAAAGAACGTAAAATTTACAGCGGGAAATTATTTTAATTTTATTAGTTGATTGACCCAAAAAATTGTGGGGGAATAATGACATTCAAGAATTCCCTGCTGTTTTAAATTTTATTTTCGCGCATTTGAATTTTATTTTTAATTTTCACGTGGTTAAACTTTCGATATTTTTTGTTGAACGAATAATTATCTTTATATGTAGTGAATATCAATGAATATCACAAATTCTTTATTTTAAATTCTTTTTTTAATTAAAATTTTATTTTTTTATAAAATTAATTTCTAGTTTTTCTTTTTACAAATCCAGTTTCCGGTTGCGCGCGTTCCAAATTTATTTTAGCTTCTCCCAACAACTAGTTCCTCAAAAAACACTCGCTTTTTCATTCTTTACAACCTAAAAAACATTTATTGATTCATGAATAGGTAAATGAAAAATAAATTATTTTATTTTTATTTTTTTATTAATTTTAAATTTAATTTTAATAAAAAATTACAAATAATTTGTACATTCATTCACTTTTTGTTGAAGATAATATCTTTTTTTTATCTACATCTACATACTTTCCTTTTTTACATTATTCTTTACTTTTTTAAGATTTTCTTTCTTACAAAAATTAAAAGTTTCACATAAAAAAGACACAAAAATTAAAATGCTGCTTAGACCTAAATTACCCTCAGATTCTGAATTATTATATTCAAAAATCCTTTCCCCCTCCTCCTCCTCCCCTTCATCATCTTCAAAAAAAGATTTACCCAACAAACAACAACAACAATTACCTCTTTTACCTCCTTTAGCTGTTGACACCTGCTCCTCTGACAGATTATTAATAAAAGAAGAAAACAGCCAACAACAAAACAGCTTTAATAGCAACGACAATAATAAACCCCCAAAGAAACCACCCAGAATATTTCATTACCAGTCGGTACAGGTAAAAGGAAAAATATTTTAAAAAATATTCATTTTTTTGTCTAAAATGGTTATGGACTCTAATCATCAGTAACACAATATTTTTTCTTTATTTTTTTTCTTATCATTTTCTATTTATTTATTTTCTCAATATTTTTTATCGCCATAATTTTTCTTTTTATTTCCATCAAGACAATATTATATGTATATCAAAAAATTAAATAAAATTTTACAAAAAACTTTTAATTTATTTAGGCATAGATTGGACAAATAATTTTAACAAATGAAAATTATTTGCTAGATCAGCTTTTTATACATATTTACTGTTTGATCCAAACTTAAATTTATCAGTAGTAATAAGTAAGAATTAATTTAGGTAGGTTAGTCCTTATTAAACTGTTAAATTTTTGATTTTTATTTTTTAATTATTAATTTTTCGTTTATTTTCTCGTTTTTTTGCAAAAAACAAATTAAAACAATAAACCGATAATTTTTTTCTTTTCATAACTTTATCTCTTCGTCAAATCAAAAACGAGTAAATATAGACATGTAACAAACAATTAATTTTAAATCCTTTTTCCTTTTCATGCATTTAGAAGTTTATATAGAGCTTTTTATTTTTCTTCTTCTCTGTCAGTTATTTTAAATTTTCTTTAAATTAACTTCTAAATATTATCAAAATATATTTAATTTTCTAAAAATTTTAATTTTTTAAATTTGTTTAAATTCATTTTAAGTTTTTTACAAATTAAAAAAAAAATAATTAAAAGGATTACCTTTAAATAAGTTTGGGACTCGTTGATCTTGCCTTCATTTTTTGAATATGGTACTATGTAATATGTAGCTGTTAAATTAAATTTTTTGTTATGTACATTATTTAGCTATCTCAGTCCTCTAAATTTTGAATTTATTTTTAATATTTTTTTTATATTTTCTGCTTCATTTCTGTGTTTATTTATTCATATTCGCTTTTTCTTCCTCAATTCGTCCTTCGCTTGGCTCTTAGCTCAAATGCAAATGACCCTTTCTGTTTACCTTACATTTATTCCTATCTAAATGGGAGGAGGACGCTGTGTCTGGGACTATTTTTGCATTGATTGTGGCCATTTAGAGATGCTTATAGTGTCCCCCATTTTGTTAAAACATAACACACCTCTGTCCATTTTTATTCTTTCCCTCCCTTTTATTTTTCAAGGGTTCTTAGAGCTTAGATTTTTAAATTAACTAAAATCAAATCTATCAAATCATCTAAAGGATTAATCTTTTCGGACATTATAAATAAATACATATATTCTTATAAAACAGTTGGTTCTTTCATTTTCCCCCTTTACATCCGCTGGCAGTCATCACAGACTTATTTTTTTCGTTGAAGAATCGATCGGGTTGTCTATTCGGCGAGTTTGTCCTTCCAATCTACCTATCGCGCATTCGTCAATTCCACCCTTCCCCAATGGCGTTGTTGTTGGGTGAGTGGTGCTATATGGGTGGGTGACCCTTTCCCTCTCTTTAAACGGCCTTACCTTTTTGCCCTGATACGTAGTAGAAGAGCACACTTCGTCCTTTTCCGCTCTTTTTCATATTTGATTTGATTCGTATTTTATCTTTTTTTGTCATTTTTGTCCAAATTGAAGAGATTTTAAGTTTTTTAATTAATCAAATAATACAATAATTAGTTGATTTTTATAATTTTAATTTTTGTTTCAGCAACTTATTGCAAGTCCCAGCAATCACAGTTGTTGTTCTCCACCAACATCTTTTCAACATTTACAGTCCCAACAACAACATCAAAGACTTTCTTCTCCACCAAAAATGCCCTCCTGTACTTCTTCCTCTCCTTCATCATTACAACAACAAAAACAACATCCACAATCCTCATTTTCACCAAATTCTGGTGGTTCTACTTCCTCCCCCAATGCTTCAACAGGAAGTGTTAATGGAAGGCCTTTGAGAGTTGCACAACCTCCCCCATTAGCAACAGCTTTTACTCAGCCAGCACCTTCTACTTCTTTCCCCGTTGCTTCTCAAAAACAACTTCACAATTCTCCCTCCTCCTTCAATTCCAAACAAAAACATCCTCAATTACCAACAAAAACCTCCATTTCCAATTCTTCAAATCAACGATTAGGGGGTTTAAGGTTTTAAAAATAATTAAAAATTAAATAGATAAATATTTTTTTAGTTATACGGAATTACTTGAATTGGCGCGTAATCAACAAAGGCAGATAGAAGCAAATGAGGCAGAATTAGATGAACGAAGAAAAGCTGTTGCACTTTTTGGTGTAGCCAGGAAAACTGCTGGGAGTGAACGGGAACAACAACAAAATGCTCAAATGTAAATTTATTTTTTTATTAAATATTTTTAGGGGAAATTGAGCATAAATAAATAAATAAATAAATAAATAAATATTTAAATAAAAAAAAATGAGAATTTCCTTTTTTTATCGTAAATTGGAATCAATTGACCAATCAAAAATTGTTAGTTTTATGTGAGAAATACATTTAAACACATCTGGCTTTTATTTAAATAAAATATACAAAATTAGAAATGAACAAATGTTTTTGAAATTAATTTATTCAAAATTAATTCAAAAACTAAAAAATTAATAAATTCTTTAAAATTAATTTTTACTTTAATTATTCTTAATCAGGATAATATCAAAATAAAATTCTTCGTTTATCTCTCTTAATCCTTCTTTATTTACAAAAATCTTTACAATCTTTGTTCTTTGTATATTTTTCTTGTTTAAAAAATTAATTTTTGAAAGCAATGATTGGGATTGCTCTAATGTTTTTCAATTAGTTCGAAAATAAACATTCTAGAGAATAAACATTCATTTCTAAACAAATATATATTTAATTACACTGAATTTAAGCCTAAATTAATTTACATTAATTATTTAAACTCTACTCTATTTTCTTCCAATAGAACATTTTTTATTAAAAAGTTTAATCTTTTTTAAAATAAAATCTCTATCTATTTCTTTTTGTTTTAATGATTTTTCTTATTTAGCTGAATCATCATTTTTATTTATTCGAATATAAACGTCGCTTAAATAAAAATGCCCTTTCCTTAAAAATATTTTTTATTTTAATATTCTCTTTTTATAACTTTTACATTTTTTTTTATTTTTAGTTTAATGTCCAATATTCGTTCACAAATTGACCGTGATGAGAAAGAACTTGTACGTCTAAGCCTCTATAGGTTCGAATTTTGTCGTTTAATTTTAAATGTCCATTTCCATTTTTCAAATAATTATTTTTCTTTTCAATTTCACATTCAAAAATTCAAGTAAATTCAAATAAATTTTTATTTTTTAGAAGAGAGGCGGGTAAATTACGTGAATACAATAATCGTCAAGCAAGAGAATTAAAACAATTAGAAAATGATTATGGAAATGATGAGAAAGAATTACGGAAAGTTTTTGCCAAAGTAGATACTTTGAGAGGGCAATTAGAAAATTTGTATATGAAAAGGGCTGCGGCTTCGGATATTGAAAAAAGATTTTTATTAAATGAAATGTCTTCTTCCTCTCCAAAAAAGAATGTAGAAGGACGTTCTAGTAATACTAATACATTCCAAAATGAACGAAGGCCTAAAGCTTCTGTCAGCCCTTTTAATAAAGTAAAAATAAATTTAAATTAAATTTAAAATTGAGATAATTTTGGAAATTATTTTCTTTATTATTCTAAAGGACCTGATTTTCCCCTATTTTAATTTTGGAAAAATTACGATCACAATCAGGGCTGTTTCGAAACTGAAAAATCCTCGAAAATCGAAAAACTTCAAAAATATCGAAAGAAAAATAACCCCGAAAATCGAAAAATTAGTTTAACTATTTAATATTTAGATATTCCTTTTAAAACTTTAAAATAATTTTTAAGTATGAAAAAGGCCGTGATATACCAGACTGTTCAGCAACAATTAATCATTCCCCTACAAAGAATCACCAAATTTCAACAAATCCAACAATATCCGGACAGGGAACAGCAAAAATACAATGGAGACGTGAACTTCCATCAAACAGTACTAGACAACAACAACAATATAATTTTCAACAACAAACTTCCCCTACACATTCAAATATAAATGGTTCTACCGGCGGATTATTGCCTCCAGCGGTGAGTGGAAATAATTTAAATTTTGTAATTAATATTGACTTCAATAAATTATTTTTTTGGAATATTTGTTTGTTTAATGTAAAGTTTTTATTAATTATTTTATTGTAGGAACACTTAAAATGGAATTTATTTCCGATTACTTTTTTGATTATTTTTTAATAATCTTTCTTATTAAATTCTTTACATTCCTTTATTAAAATAAATTATTGTTTTTATTTCTAAAAATTCTGGGAAATTTTAGTATTTTTTAAACAATTAAAATTCTCTTAATTTTTAAAAAAATATTTTTATTTTACTTTAAAAAGGTTGACAAAATAAGTCTGCGTCGAAATTCCATCAATCAGGCAAAGCGTAATTCTCTCGTGAGTGAAGGTGGAGATGAACATGTACAGGCCCTATTATTAGCAGAATTAAGAAGAGGCCGTTCTCATATTTCTTTTGGACGATCGTGGGATAGTAGCCAATTAAGTGATGAATTTAAAGCAACAACAAGGAGAGGAGAAAGGGAAAGAAAATTATTATTTGAAGAAACAGAATGTTCAAGTAGCCAAAACAAATTAGAAAATCGTTTTAAGGCAAACGAGAGTAGTAAAATAACAGAAAAATGGGCAGATAAAGAAGAAAATAAACCAAAAATTTCATCAGAAAATCAACAGAATCAATTAACATTTTTGCAACAACAAAAAATAATTTCACCAAAAACATCACCAAAAAGAACTCCATTGCCACCTGAAAATAGTTTATATGCTTTTAACAAAATATTTAATAAACAAGAACCTAGAGGTAGAGAAGAAAGTGAAGAAAAGGAAGAAAATGAAGATTTTGTGGAGAAAGGATTGAGAAATGAATATCAAAAAGATTATAATGATAAAGTTGAATCTTCAGTTATTGAAGTTAATAATGAAGAAGAAAAAGGGGAAGAAAGCAGGAAATTTGAAGAAGAAGACCAGGAAGAAGATAAAAATAAAGAAAGGGATGAAGAGAATAATTATAAAACTGTTCAATTACTCGAAAGAATAAATCTTCGATTGGATGAAGATTTATTTGTTAAGGAGGAAGAAAATGAAGAAGAAAAGGAAGAGGAAATGGAAGATGAAATACATGATGTGGAACTGCCAAAAACAACAATTACAACTGGAAGTCCTCCACTTTCTGACAGTTCTACTGTTTCGAGTAGTGAATTGGAGAGGGAAGGGATTTTGGTGAGTTTAGTTTTTGATTAAAATTGATAATGAGGTATGAGAATGAATTGATGGACCTTTGATTGTGCCCTTATTTCCGATGTTATTTTGAGAGTAAACATCCCGCTCGAAGAGTTTAATATCCGTTCGATTTCAACTTGATATTCTTTGAGGTGTTCTACATATAGGTATCTTTCTTTCCCTATCAGGATACTATTCTAAACAAGTTTTAAGTTAATTTTACTCTCTTCATTTTTTAGGCATTATTTGACGATTCTTGGCATAAAAACATTCGTTCAACGGGTAATAAAGGAATTCTTCGAGAAAGACAACAAAATGGTGTATTATTAAATACAAATACACGTTTAGAACCAAAAAAGCAAACAAATCGAGTTAAAATTGATTTGGTTATTTTATTTTTGGATGTTGCTTATGAAGGGCAATATGAAATGCTTGTTAAATTAGCATCTCAAGTAAATTATTTTTTTGGAAATTAAAAATTAATTTTAAATTACAAAAAAAGATTGACGATATTTCTGTTTCAAATAGTGAAGGGTTAACAGCTTTACATTATGCAATATGTGCAAGTAATCATGATATTGTACAATTTTTGGTAGAAAATGGGGCTGATGTTAATGCTTTGGTTTGGAAAAAAGAAGAAATTTTTTTTTGAAAATAAAATATATTTTTTAAGGATGTTGATGGTTGGACTCCTTTACATTGTGGTAAAGGAAATAAATTTTAATTTAAAATCAATATTTTTTAAAATAATATATAGCTGCCTCTTGTGGTAATTTGCCAATGATTAAACTTTTAATTGAATATGGTGCTTGTCCAATAGCTACAACAATTAGTAAATCTGAGGTAAAAAATTGAGAAAAAAAAGAAGAAAATATTTATATTTAGACAGTTGCTCAAATATTTGATGATTCAAATGAAAATGCAGCAGTAGGGATTGAATATATGAATTTTGTAGAGGAGTGTATGGGGGTTGTTAATGAGTCTAAGGTGTTTTTAATTTTTAATTAAAGATTGGCTTTTTAAATTGGTTTGAAAATAGGGAATGGTGTATTTTGTAGTGTTTAATTAGAAAATTTTTAAATTCAAATTATTAGATACTTGTTTCTAAAATATCATTTTAGGTTTATGCTGCTTATTCTTATTCTCCTCAACGAGCCGATGAATTAAGTTTTGAAGAGGGGGATGAATTAAAAGTAATTAGAAAATGTGAATATTTTGAGGAAGAAGAAGAAGAGGAAAATATAAAAAAAGAAAAAACGCATTTAGAAGAAGAATTTGATGAGCATTGTTGGTGGTTATGTGAACATACAAAAGAAATATTTAATAAACAAAAAAGTGGATTTGGTTAGAAAATTAAAAAAGATTTTTTAAAAAATTATTTTAAAAACATTTCAGTACCTCGTAATTATTTAGCTTTATTTCCAACTTTAAAACATCAAAATAAATTTAATGTTGATTTTAAATTACCAAAAGAAATTGTTTTTGCTGAACAAAATAATTTGGAAATAATGAGGAGGGGAAAAGATGAAGAAAGAGAGAATGATGAAGAATTAAATGAAAATAATGAAGAAGAGGAGGAAGAAGAAGAAGAAAGAATATGTAATAATAATAATGTTTTAAGAATTAATAATACAACAACAACAACAAAAACAACAAATTCTTTAGGTCATCAAGAATTAAGTACATATGCTTAAATAAATAAATAAAATAAATAAATATATGCAATTTAAAATCAGCAATAAGCAATTATTCGAGAGAGTAAATTATAGAAATTTTCTTTATTTTTTATCCACAATTTATATTTATTTTTTAGAAAGTTTATTAAAACGAGCGTTAGGACGCGCTTCGCGCGTCCTAACGCTCGTACAACACCTTGTAATTCTTCCTAGATCAACCTCACTCTTTGACGGACTCAAATCCCAACATCTTAACCGCTACTGGACAGCTCAAATTGATGGGAAGAGTCTCTTGCTCAAGCCCAAATCCCTAATATTACCCTTTATTCCCAAATCATTTGGTATCCTCTTAATCACCACCAAAATCCCAGAATCACCCTTTAGCCCCCAACTCATAGGAACTCGCTCTTAATCACACTCAAATCATAGATATCCCTCTTTATCTCCAAAATCCTCCGATATCCCTCTTTGCTTCCATTCTCTTAATCACAACTCTCTTAATCACCACCAATTAATCACCATCAATCCTCTAAAATGCCTCATAATCACCCCAAAATCCCAGAATGACCTATTAGATTCTAATCTTATGAAATATCTCCTAATCACACATCACAGCAAACACCCTTTATTTTTAAAAATTTGCAATATCCCTCTTAACCACCATCCTGTTAATCCCCTCCCCAATGTTCTGATATCTCTCTTAACCATGCCCCAAATCACAGATATCACCATTTATCAACAAAAACTCAGATATTACCCTTTAGGCCGAAAACATCTATATTTCTACTTTGCACCCCAAAATCTCAGATATTACCCCTTAGCCCCGAAATCCTATGATATCCCTCTTAATCACCCCAAACCCCCTGTTATATCACCATACGAAATCCCTTTTAATACTTCCCAGTTATCACCATGTATCTCACAAACCTAGATATTAACCAAAAGTCCCCAAATCCTCTTTCATCTCTCTTAATCAACCCAAATCCTAAATATCGCCCTTTTTCACCAAAATCCTTTTTCTCCAAATCATCTGATATCTCACTTAAACACCACCAAATCTTTTATATCACCCTTTGCCAACCCTTCAGTTAGACTACTCTAGCCCTCACATTTAATTCGCCATGCCCACGATATCTCGCTTCATTCCTCTAATTCAACTCCGCCACCTTCCAAACGCTCTAAATCATTCTTTACTATCACCCCTTATCTGCTATACCGCTTAATCACTCCCAAAGTCTCCGATTCACTAATCCTCTCAAAACACAAAATATGCCTGTTAATTACTTCTCCGATGCCCTTAATTTCACAAATTTCACCTTCCAAACTTTATTTTCAAAGAAAATACCCCTTTTTCACATCAAAACATTTGATATCACACTTTATCCTGAAACCCATAATATCCCCGAGCCAAAAAGTAAAGCAATAACTCCCATTATTTGCCTCTTAATCCCTTAGTCTCCGATGATTAGGTTTCATAGGTTTTCACTCATTTTTCTTATTTTTGTGTTGCGTATCACTCTAATCCTCGAAAGCCTTCTTAATTACCCTAATCCCCGATATCTTTATTATCCTTTGATACTACTATTTTCCCAATACCCCCAAAGTCATATCTTAATCCACATCCCTCAATATCAATCTTAAGCCCAAAAAACTATTGATATTCCCCAATCACTCATGAGACACTTACAATCACTAATAGCTGTTCTTGTATTTCCTAAATACATATTACTATACCCCAAATACTCAAAATCCCGTGTGCTCCCCAATATCCGTCTTAATGTTTGTAATCCCAAAAATCCCCTCATTAAATCTGAATTTATCATGTTTGTAACTAAAAGACTATATATTCCACTTTTTATCTCAAATCCTCCATATATGTACAGAACTTATGTTTTTAATATAAATCCCCCGATATCAATTCTAAGTACCGATATTCTCTTTAACACTCTCACTCGCAAGTTCCCAAAATAGTCTTTATATTAACTCTTCTTTATTTCTCTCTTTTTCTTCCAATCACTGATATCATACATTTGCTCAATACACAATACATTTGCTCAATACATTTGCTCAAGTCACAATATTCCCTTAATTTCCCACAATCCACGATATCCCCTTTATCACTATCTCTTACCTTCTTAATACGCAAGTTCCCGATATTCTTTACAATCCTCAAACTCCCATACATCATTCTACATTAACTCTCCCAAATCACAGCTCACCTCCGATATTCACTTAATCCCCTATAAATCTACCGTTAACTTTATTATCCTAATTCACCTTCATCTCTTCAAATACTTAGTATTCAATTAATCATCAAACACCCTTTAATAATTTTTAATTTTTTAATCCTAAAATCCTCAATATCCCTAGTTGGCTCTAATAGTGTAACAATTGCTTCATGTTTGCGGCTAATAGGCTGCGATTTATTTTTTACATTACTGCTTGCGAATAAAAGGCAGACAGCTGGTGCTGCCGCGTCTAAATGGCAGATGGCTGGTTGTTTTTGTTTACACTTAACTTTACCATTAAAAATTAGAGAAAAACAAATTTTTCACTCTTATTTTTTAAAAAGAAAATTTTTCGTGTCAAAACAAATTCTGTTTTTCTTTTTAAAAAGTGCAAAAAAGCGTTACGGAAAATGCGTTTTAGTATAGTGAATACATACTTGCTCTTTATTATTCTTATAAATAAATTAGTTGTATTAATCTTTTAAAAATATTTCTAAAATTTGCCTTAAATTTACATCTATTTTTTTACTTTTTTTACTTTGCAATTTCTTTCTTTAATTGATGCCATTGCCTCCTGTCTTGTATTCAGTAAAATCTCTCTACTATTTTTACCTTTCCCTAATCAGTTTTTACCCAGATGGTGTTTTTTTATGTTTATATTAAAAATAAAGAGGGATATTTTTTTAATTTAATTTATTTAATTTAAAGAAATAATTATTTAAAAAGAAAATATTTTATAGAAATAATGGCACTTATTGGAGAAAAAAAGGATTTTTTAGGTAAATGTCCGGTTGATGTCCTACATGTCCACAAAGACATCAATTGGACATTTACCGGATTTATTTAATGTTGCAACTTGCTCAACCTTAAATTTAATTAAAATGTAAGTAAAAATTAGTTTGTGTTTCCTGTGATTTCCGAAAAATTTCCCTCTAAATATTTTTCGTTGACAATATTTTCAATCAAAAAATAATTAAATTTTTTGATTTATTTTCTTATCCATATTTTGATAATTTGAAGGAAGGCTACGGGGAGTTTGGGAAAATAAACATAGTAAAACTTTTATTAAAAGTTGCAGCATTTTAAATAAAAAATACTAATTAATTAAATAGCGTCAACACCTAAAGAAGTTGTTTTATTTAAAGTTGTTCTCCTCCCTCCATTACTACTGCTATTTGAAATATTTTCTGTTTGATTAATATCTTCATTGCCACAATTTTCTTTATAAAATTGTTGTCCATTTTGAAATATTACCAATGGACGCATTTGAATCTGAAAGAAAGTCTTAAATATTAATTAAAAGAGAATACCCACCCATTGTTGTCTATTCCCTCCATAACCATTTAATCGAAGGGAATCACTAAAAGTAAGTCCATTTGATAAAATTTGTCTTCGATGGCTAGTACTTGTTGTTGTTTCTGATTCTGCTCTATATAAATGACGAGCAGTCTTTCGGCCAAATCGACGTTTATAACGAATATCCTCATCTTTAGATTGTCCATTATTACTTCTTAAACTGTGCATACGTGATACTAATGAAGTTATTATTCTGGAAATGTTAAGTATTGAGAGTATTACATTTCAAAAACTTACTCGCTCGTTGCAGTAGCAATACCACTAAGATTTGCACCTTTTTGTTTGTCTTTTGCTGTTAACCAAAAAAATAAAAAAGGATTCCAAATAACTGCTGACATTGCAATAACATGGGCTATTAAAGGCCATAAAAATGGCTAAAAAATAGAATATTAAATTTAAACAAAAAATAATTATCTATTTATTTACTTGTTGTTTTAACCAAGCTGGTTCTTGTTTAAAATCTTTAACTAAATTAACAGCCGTAATTGGGGTATTACAACCAATAAAGGCAATAACCTGCAATAAAATAAAAATAAAATTTTAAATTAAAAAGCTCCTAACCATTCCAATAAGTATATAATTAACTCTCTTTTTTCTATTTAAAGCATCTGTTCTTTGTGTGTTACTTAATGATTGAGAAAATTGGGCATTTTGAACTGAAAAGTTAAAGAAAAAATATAACACGAGCTATTAATTAATTAAGCTATTAACAAATTAATTAATTAATTACCAATCATATCTTTGTGTACTTTTCTTAAAATTCTCCAATAACAATAAGTAATTATTGTCATAGGCAAAACAAATTGAAAAAGCATAACTCCTGTTCCATAAAGTCTTCTTTGTGTATCATCTGGCCAATTAAGCTCGTCACAAAATTGTCCACAAAATGGGGTTGAATTACGAGGAACATAATAATCACTTAAATAAAGAATATATATTAGGGTAGGACCTCGTCCCCAAAGGCTCGGGATGCTACCCTAGAATATATAATATTTGTCTATACTTTTAATCCAGAAAATTTATCTAAATCTTTTTATTAAAATATTTACCCATTAACTAATTTGTAAGAAAGTAAATAAGGAATGTTTAACAAAGTAGATATAATCCAAATAACAAAAGTAATTGTAGCTGCTGTTCTTAATGAAAATTGTCCTCTTGTTGGGTCAATTATATGTAAAAATTTATCTAAAGCAATAGCACAAAGTGACCAAGAAGTAACAAAAACAGCACAAGAATTTGAAAGAGGGACAAGTCGGCACATTAAAGGGCCAAAAGCCCAATCTTTTGTTAAAGCATACCAAGGAGTTACTGGGACGGCCGTAAGGCACAAAAGTATGTCAGTAAGTATTAAATTTAAAAGAAAAAGATTTCTGGTTGAACGAAGACTGAAAGAATAAATTAAAAATATTAATTTTTAACGTTGATTTTTACCGTTTATTTTGAGCAAAAGCTAATAAAACAGAACCATTTCCAAGTAATCCTAACAAAAATAAACATCCATAGGCAGCTGCTATTGCACATTGAACGGCTGCCCAACTATTTTTAAAATGGAAATAAATAAATTTTAACAGAGATTATTATCGAGATTTTAAATAAAATATTTGTGTTTATTTTTAAATAAAAAATTCTCTCTTCTTTACCTAGTTAAATCATCAATACCCTGAGCAAGAATAGCTTCAGAAACTTCTGTACAAACAATTTGTTGCTGGTTATCTGGAGAAATATTTTCGTTTTGATGATATGCAGATGTTTGTGGGGTTAAATGATTTTGATGTTTTTCTTCAATTAGCGTCATTATTTGACAAGAAAATAAAAAAATAAATTTAAAAAATTATATAAAAATATATTTAATTTAATTATAAGCTAAAAATATTTTAATATTTAATTAAATGAAAGGAAATAAAAATTTTTTAAATTTAATGTAAAATATAAATAATTTAGAAAATATTTAAATAAATTATAAAAGAATTTGAATAAATAAATATATTATTTTTGTTAAATTATTGAGAATATTTTGAAATTAAATCTTGAATAATTAAGTTTAATTTTTTTATAATTTTAAAGGAATATTAAAGATTTTTTAATTAAAATTTAATTAATAAAAATAATTTATTTTAATTATTTTGATCAATCCAAACCTAAAAAAGGTAACAAACAATTCCTCCTTTTATTCAAAAATTAATGGGGATCTGTGGCCAAATTAAAATTTTGTCTTCCGGAAGAATAAATATTAAAAGGAGGAAGAAGGTCCTTTTTTTACTTCCAAATAATATACTTCTTTTTTACAAAATTCAAAGAATTCCAAAAAAAAATAAAAGGAAAAAATATCAAAAAATGAATAAAGAAATAATTATTATTTGCACACAAACACGTGCCGATATATTTATATAAAAAATTATTATTCATTTATTGGCATTTATTAAACTACATCAAACAATTTTTTTTAATTTTTTGTTTCATCTTAAATAAAAAAATATAATTATTGGTCTATTGAATATACATATTTAAAAGAAAATATATTTACAAATAATTATTCGAAAATCTTTATTTTTTTGGAAAAATATATTCAAAGAACTGAATATCAGTTTAAAATGACGTGAAAAAAAAGAAAATATTTTTAAAAAGCTGATTATGAAAAGAAAAATAAAGATATATTTAAATAAATGATTGAATACTATATTTTGAATAAGAAAGATGTGTAACAATTAAGGATAATCCTTGTAAATTTATCTGAAATAAATTAAAATAAAAGTTAAAAAAAGATTAAAAAAATAATTATTATTTAACAAATATATGTATTTCTTAAATTAAATAAAAAAAATTTTTACCAAATAATATTAGAAGAATCAAAAAAATTTTTAAAATATTAATTAAAATTGAGGTTAAAACATAAAATTTAGAAAAAAGAATTTGCATAAATTTAAATAAAAATCAGACAATTCAAAGAATAAAATATTTTGTAAAGGAAAAAATAAATATTAAAAGTCTTTTCCGGTTGATCAGATAATCTTTGAGTATTTTCTAAAAAATAAAAAAGAAAAATATTATTTAATATCAAATTAAAGCAAAAATAAGGATAACTTAATCTGCAAAAAAACTTTTCAGTTAATCAAATTTTCTTTTTACAAAAAAATAAAAATAATAGGGGATATATATTAGAAGAATATTTAAATAAATATTTAAAAGTACATAAAAAATAAGCAAAAAAAATAAATTAAAAAATATTCGTGAGAATTTTAAAGTGGTTGGGAAGAAGTGAGTGAAGGATTTTCATCTTAAAATTTAAAAAGGAAAGAAAGCGAATTCAATAAAGGTAGATTTTTATAGAAAAAAATATATTAAAATTAAAAAAAATTTATAAAAAAAGGATTTTATTGAATAATTATAAAGGAGTAATTAATCGAGGAGGGGGGGGAATTAATCAAAAAATATATAGTAGATAAACAAAAAGAAAAAAAGATTTTTATGTAAATATTTAAAAAATTAATGAATCAAAGTTCTTTTAATTTCAATTATTTATCTTTGTAAATATTTTTGTAAATAATTTTCCTTTTGTTTTCAAAAAACAATAAAGATAATTAAATAATAGATAAAGAATGACGGAGAATATAAAAAAGAAATTTAATATAAAATTGAAAAAAAATTTGTGAGAGAAAACCTTTCAAATAAATAATTGCTAATTTAATTTATTTAAAAAAATTAAAATAAAAAGATTGAATTTAGTAGAGATTCTAGAAATATTAAATTACTTTAAATTTTTATTTTATTTATTTGAAAAGTAAATTTAATTAAAAAAATGATTTTTTAAATATTTAATTTTAAATTAAAAAAACATTTAAATCTTAACTTTCTAATTTATTTTAACGAATTTTTTGGAACGATAAATGAAACTATTGGTTCGATTTTTCACCAACTCTTCGAGGTGAAAAAGTTTGGAGTAGGCTAATGACTTAACACGTCCATTCAATCATTGGAAGTCTTTATATTTCTGTCTAAAAATAAAAGGATAATTGGAAGTCTTGGAAGTCTACAATTGGAAGTCTACAATTTGACTAAAGTTTTTGCCAAAATAAAAAAAGGAATATATAAATTTAAATATTATTTTATAACCTCCTTTTCAATAATTAAAATAAATAAATTAGTTAATAAGAAAAAGGTTCTAGATAATTTAATTATTAAGTAAAAATACATATAATTATCCAAATATACATATTTTTAAGTAGAATTAACATAGAATAAAACATTTTCTAGGAAAATTAATTTAAACAAAAATGTCCTTAGAATATCTTCTTTAAATTAAAATTATTTTTAATTTATCCTTTTATTTTTAGACAGAAATATAAAGAATTTTTTTTATTTTTAATTTCCTTTTGATGAGTGCCAAAAAAACGGTTAATGTCGAAAAAACCAAATAAGGATCTAATATAAGCACCCCCTCCCCTCCCTCCTAACTCATCAAAAAATATATTTTATTGTCTCTCCCAACAGAACAAGACCAAAGGCTAAAATAAAAAATATTTTGGAGAGAACAAATAATCGAGAGAATATTAGTAACCCCCCTCCCCCCTCCATCCCCCCTTTTCTTCTTCTCCAAATAAAACTCCCAAAAATGCTTGAGTGGCTCCAAGCTGAGAAAAATTGACAGAAAACAATTGAAGTAACGTCACGCATTGTGGTGCTTATTGTATAAAAATAAATATTTATTGGCTTTAAGAAAATTTTCGGTTGGTCTCTTTTGTGATAAGTAAAAAGAAAATATTTATTTATTTATTTTAGGAAATATATTTTTATAAAAAAATAATTTGGAATAATTATATAAATTTATTTTAAATAGTAAATAATTATTTTTTATTTTTATTAAAAAAATTGAAATAATTATTTTAAAAATAAATATTATTTTAAATATTTATTTAAAAGACCAAAATTCAAAAAATTTTTAAAAATCAAAGAAAACAATAAAGAAATTGAGAAGAGTCTTTTTTATTTAATTTCTTGTCTATTCATAAAAATAAAAAAAAGTTTTTCTTTGTTGACAAAAATTCTCTATAAAAAATATTTTTTATTTTCTCAATTTTTTATTGCCAAAATATATTTCTAAAAAAGATTTAAATAAAAAATATATTTTTATATTTATTATCGAAATTAAATTAAAATTTTATAACATTTTCTGAAAATATTTAAGTTAAAGATATAAATAAAAAAGATTATATGTATGTAGTACAGGGTTGCCGCCCGAAACCCGAAACCCGATACCCGAAACCCGAAACCCGGCCTTTTTTTGTACCCGAAACCCGATACCCGAATTGAAAATTTTCCAACCCGAAACCCGAAACCCGTACCCGATATTTTTTCCAACCCGAAACCCGTGACCCGAAATTGGTTAAAACCCGAAATTTCTACCCGAAAACCTAGCCTTACCCGATTTTTTAAAATAAATTTAAAAAATTATAGAAAGGAAAAGGGAAAGGAATATTTATAATTTCTTCCATATTTACATTATGTGGATCGGTGGCTGAATGGGTAAGGCGACTGGCTCTGTATTTTAATAGAGGTCGGTTCGAGCCCAGGTCTGGAAATGAGGCCTAAAAATTTTTCTTTTCAAAAATAAATGTTTTTAAACTTTGATTTTCATTTTAGATTTTTAAATTTATTTTTTTTAATATTTTAAGCTTGAAAAAGCATTAAAAATTTTAATTTAGTCATGAATTTTTCAAAATTTTCGCCTGCGGCGCATAAAATTAAGAGTTCTGGCTTCATGACCAACTAAACTCCGCAAAAAAAGTCCGCAGAAAGGGGTAGGGATAACGAAAAAGTACCAAAATTTTTTGCCTGCGGTTCTGACAATTGAATTTTTTCTCCTAAGTCCTTACAAAATTCTCAAATTTTCGCCTCCGGCGGTGAAAAAGCTAGAAATCTGGCTTACGGATCATTAAAATTCTCAAAATTTTCGCCTTCGGCGCTGAAAACTGGAGAAAATTGGATAGAGAAAATTGGATAAAATTGGATATATAGTGGGATTTAACAAGGTGATTTTACCAAGATATCCCTCTTTATCCCCAAATCCCACAATGTCTCTTTAATCTCTTCAAATTTGCCTCTCTATATCACCCAAAATCCTATTATGCAACATAGCTTGTCTCCATACAATTTAGTTCACCAGTACCCGAACACCCGAAAATAACCCGGATTTTTCGCCAAACCCGAAACCCGTACCCGAAATTTTTGCCAACCCGAAACCCGATACCCGAAATGAAAATTTTATAACCCGAAACCCGTACCCGATATTTTTGCCAACCCGAAACCCGTGACCCGAAATGAAAATGCTTCAACCCGATACCCGAAACCCGTACCCGAAGATTTTTTGTACCCGCGGCAACCCTGATGTAGTATAAATAAGGAAATGGAAAATAGTAAAGAAAAGAATTTTTTGTTTAAACGAATTGTCTGAATTTTATTGAAACTAAAAAAATTTTTTCTTCTTCATTGTTAACAAAAAGGCATTTTATATAAAAAAGTATATTTTACAAAAATTGGAAATTAGATTTAAGTAAATATTTTCTCGAATTTAACGTTTATTTTATTTTAAATTTATTTAAACGAGTATTTTATAATCAAAAATTGTTGGAAAATTAATCATCAAATAATTCAAAATTTAAACTAATTTTAATATTTTTTAATAACTAAATATATAGAATTTGAAAAATTAAAAGTTTGTTTAAAAGTTTTTTTTAAAAAAGTAAAATAATTTAAAATAAAAAAAGAGAAGATTTGATGAGTAAAAAATTAAAGAAAAATATATTTTTAAAGATCATCAAAATTTGTTGAGATGAGTTAAAGACATGCCAAATAATATTTTAACAAAGGATTGATAAAGTAAAAATACTTTTTTTCTTTTTTTTTAAAACAATAAAAAGAAAAAAGGGGAGGGGAGAAGGGAGAAGGGAATGATTGAAAAATTAAATAAAAGCAGTTGCCCTTGTCTGCTAAAAATTAAAAGGGAAGTAAAAGCTTTCTTTTTAAAGAAAAGAAAACAATTGCTTAGATTGATCCTTATAGAAAGTATGTATTTTATAATTTAGTTAATAAAGGAGAATAAGGGAGAAAAAATAAAAATAAAAATAAAAAATGGAAAATAAATAAATATGTAGAAGGTATATTTAGAAAATAAACAATTGTGGATTTTTTAAGAAATATGTATATTTAAAATATACATATATTTAATTATTAGAATTACAACACCTAGACCCCGTATTCCGAACATTTTTTAAAGACCCCCCCCCCATCCAAAAATTTCGGAAGTTTTCAAGATTTAAACATTGTAATATATATTCTTTGGAGAATTAATTAATTGTTTTTAAATTAATTTTAAAACAATTTATTAAACAAAATATTTTTAATTATTAAAATGAGTAAAGATTAAATGAAAATTTTGTTTCTAAAAATATTTCTTAAAAAAATACTAAAAGAAAATAAACAATTTGTTGGCAAATAAAATGCATAGAAAATGAATAATAATAAAGAATGGAGAAAGAATAATAAATTAAATAAATAAATATTTATTAATTAAAAAAAGTATCAAATTAAAAAAAAAGAAAATTATTTTATTCTTATTTTAATTTAAAATGCCAAAGAGTAAATAATAAATATGTATTCTTTTATTTGATATAAATATTTTGTAGAAAGATTATATTTTGCAAAAATAAATTTAATTTTTATTAAAATATTTTAATAAAAGATTTTTATTTCAACCAAGTAATTAAATAAAAAACTTTAAAAACAAAATAAAAAATTTACAAAAAAAATCCAAAATAGGGAGGAAATAAAAATAAAGATTTAGTCTATTTAGTAATTGTTTTTAAATAAATAATTATTTAATTAAATATTTGCCATTCTATCTCCCCTCCCCTCCCCTCCTCTCCCCTCCTCTCCCCATTTTTTCTTTCAATTTAATTAAAAAACTCAATGACGCCAGAACACCAACTGAGACCTTTCTAAAAATTTAATTAAAAATAAATTAAATTATAAATTCAGACAATGAATGGCATTTTCTGAAAATAAAAATATTTGAAAATAATTAAAATAAATTGAGTATTTATTACAGATTTTAAAAATCCAAATTTTAATCTCAAGGGAAAAGTAGTTAAATAAATTTAAATGACATTTATTTTCTATAAAAATTTAAATTTGGAAAAATTTGAATTAATATTAAAGCTTAACAAGAATAAGAATAATTAAAAATAAAGAGTTCGACAACTTCGCAGACAAACTTGCCTCAAAATAAATTGAAAATAATAATTCTTTTATTAAATTCCCGATTGATAATTCTCGTAATATAAAAGCACAGGAATTTCCATCTATCTTACCGACAACAGCTTCACTTGACAGCACGATACTCAACTCCAATCAACAACGATGGCAGACGGCAAAAAGGATGATGGCGGCAACAAAGGCGGCGGAGAGCGAAGCGTGATCAAGGGGGATGGTGGTAAGTGCGAGCAGGCAGTCCAAGGAAGGGAGCAGCAACAACAGGAGGACGCTAACACGAACACGGAGATGATCTCGCGTCTTGAACCGATGGAGGCAATCGCTCTGAATATTGGGACTGTGGTCGGCAGCGAAGGACACAGGAAATGGCACGTTCTCAGCAGGTTAGGATCTGGCGCGTTTGGTGCTGTCTATCTGGTGGAGGAGGAGGGTGCCAAGAAGGAGGAAAAGTATGCCTTGAAGGTATGTTGTTAGAAAGTTTTATTAAATTTTGGACATTTTTACTATTTAGGCAGAGCGCCTCTCAGCTCAAGTGCAGATGTTGGCCGTCGAAGTGCAAGTATACCAGGCGCTGATGGCAAAGGCAGTTGAAGGAAAACGCCGGTACCCGTTGCTGATTGACAAGGGAGCCTGGAACAATCAGTGCAACTACTTGGTCATGTCATTGGTCGGCCCATCACTTGAGGTGATGATTTTATTTATAAGTTTGGTCTAACTTTGCAAATAAATTATTTTTAAGGATCTTCGACGTAAGCGTCCCAACAACAGGTTTTCCATGGGCACGGCTCTGATTGCGGCAAAGAAGACTTTGGCGGCGATTGTACAGATGCACCTCGTCGGATTTCTTCACAGAGATGTGAGTTTTCATTTTACAAAAGCGAAAATTGAACTTTAATTTTCTTTTTTTCTATTAGATCAAGCCAGCAAACTTCTCGATTGGACACACGGACAAGAATGTCATCTACATCCTCGACTTTGGCATGGCACGATGTTTTGTACGGCCAGACGGCGTACTTAAGCGTCCACGCGCAGGCAACATCGGTTTCCGAGGGACAGCCAAATATGCTTCAAGGATTGGTCACAAACATAAGGAGCTCTGCCGAGGGGACGACGTCGAAAGTTGGTTCTACATGGCATGTGAGCTTGTGAAAGGGAAGTTGCCTTGGCAGCGTGTCGATGTAAGTTTATTAATTTTTTGGTAGTTTGTTGGCTAATTAAATGTTTGATTTTTTTAGGAAGAAGCTAAAATACGTGACATGAAGATCGAAGCCTTGAGACCTGGGAAGGTGGACGTCAAAGGAAAGGGGCCGACTTCTGAGGCAGCAGCGGGGACGAAGACCAAATCGGAGGCGAAACCCAAGGTGGAATCAAAGCCCAAGATCGAGACTAAGACCAAGACTGAGGCAAAGCCCAAATCGGAGGCGAAGCCTAAGACGGAGACTAAGACCAAAACAGAGGCCAATCCCAAATCGGAGCCGAAGACTAA